TGACTGTGTTGTTTATGATATCATTTACATACAGTGTAATTTGATTTCATTCAGATGGGCTTGAAATGGATCTAGATAGAATCCAGGTATATTTCGCTGAATAATTCCGGCATGTTTCTGTAGATATATTTTAAACTTGAGTACATAAAACATTCTATAAGTAACACAGTGTGTACGTGATGGTGCAGTACATGAACATTGCTTCAGCAGTTAATGTGACTTCATGTGTTGTAGAATGTTTCATCACATTGCCATTGATGTGTTTAGAGTAGAATATGTTTCTGTTATCCTGTGCATCATACCTGTAACTTGAGGATACGGTGCTCTCATAACATTGTGTATCATCATACCTGTAACTTGAGGATACGGTGCTCTCATAACATTGTGTATCATCATACCTGTAACTTGAGGATACGGTGCTCTCATAACATTGTGTATCATCATACCTGTAACTTGAGGATACGGTGCTCTCTCATAACATTGTGTATCATCATACCTGTAACTTGAGGATGGTGCCTCACGGTGCTCTCATAACATTGTGTATCATCATACCTATAACTTGAGGATACGGTGCTCTCTCATAACATTGTGTATCATCATACCTATAACTTGAGGATACGGTGCTCTCATAACATTGTGTATCATCATACCTGTAACTTGAGGATACGGTGCTCTCATAACATTGTGTATCATCATACCTATAACTTGAGGATACGGTGCTCTCATAACATTGTGTATCATCATACCTATAACTTGAGGATACGGTGCTCTCATAACATTGTGTATCATCATACCTGTAACTTGAGGATACGGTGCTCTCATAACATTGTGTATCATCATACCTATAACTTGAGGATACGGTGCTCTCATAACATTGTGTATCATCATACCTATAACTTGAGGATACGGTGCTCTCATAACATTGTGTATCATCATACCTATAACTTGAGGATCATAACGGTCATCTCATAACATTGTGTATCATCATACCTATAACTTGCTCTCATAACGGTTTCATAACATTGATACGGTGCTCTCATAACATTGTGTATCATCATACCTATAACATAACATTGTGTGATAACTTGAGGATACGGTGCTCTCTATAACATTGTGATATACCTATAATTGGAGGATACCTCATACATTGTGTATCATCATACCTATAACTTGAGGATACGGTGCTCTCATAACATTGTGATACCTGTAACTTGAGGATACGGTGCTCTCATAACATTGTGTATCATCATACCTATCTTGAGGGATACGGTGCTCTACCATAACATTGTGTATCATCATACCTGTAACTTGAGGAATGGGGTGCTCCTCATAACATTGTGTATCATCATACCTATAACTTGAGGATACGGTGCTCTCATAACATTGTGTATCATCATACCTATAACTTGAGGACGGTGCTCTCATAACATCACATACCTATAACTTGAGGATACGGTGCCTCATAACATTGTAACTTGAGGATAATGTGCCTCATAACATTGTGTATCATCATATGATACGGTCTCATAACATTGTGTATCATCATACCTGTAACTTGAGGATACGGTGCTCTCATAACATTGTGTATCATCATACCTATAACTTGAGGATACGGTGCTCTCATAACATTGTGTATCATCATACCTGTAACTTGAGGATACGGTGCTCTCATAACATTGTGTATCATCATACCTGTAACTTGAGGATACGGTGCTCTCATAACATTGTGTATCATCATACCTGTAACTTGAGGATACGGTGCTCTCATAACATTGTGTATCATCATACCAAGCTAATTGTTGCTGTTAGCCCTTGTTTGTCGGATTATACCCACTGATCGCTATGATAGAACTGAAACATTACTGACTTCAATATGGAACAAGCTTCACCTTCTCACTTATTTAAAGGGAAAGACTCGATGGATGTCAGCTTCTTTATAATGTGGAGCACACCAGAGTATATGCTTATTCCCTCCAGGTGAATAACTTGTTTTCACCTATATTATCTTATTACCTTTGATGCTCTTAGGAGTACATAACAAAGCGCCTGTGAGCTGGAACTTGGCACTATATAAATAGATTATTAAACACAAATATTTAAAAATATACATATACTAAGCAGCAAAAGAAACATCAGTTTGGAATTTTCCTTCACAGAAACGGATAACTGTAACTCATTTAATGTTTTGATTGTAAATTTTTGACAACATCTCCAACTTTACCTGAGCAAAGACATTCCTTCCAAAAGTCAGAATGGAACCCAGGAAATGGTCTAAAAAATGCAACCTGATCTCAGGAGAAGGTGTTCTCCATGTTTTTCATGCAACTCATGCTGCACGTGCTGTTCACAAGGACCAGCCCTATAAAATGCACCCCCAAACCTGGTGGAAACATTCACATTACAACGTTGGCAGGACGCTGCGACTCACGACAGCTGAGAGGAACCAGGCGCTTGGAAGACTTGAAGCTGGCCACACTATAAAAGCCGTTGCCAATCACTTCCAGGTCAACATTCGGACCATCTACAGGCTGCAGTAACGTTTCTGGGCCACCATCACCACAAATGATCGCCCCCGTACTGGCAGACCAAGGGTGACCACAAGACGACAAGACCGCCATGTTGTGCGACAGCATGTACAGAATCCTTCATGCATGCAGGCATCCGAATATCCCTTCATGCAGGCAGACAGTGGGAACACACGGAAGACCAATCACTACTGATACAGTACGCCGACATCTTAACAGCAGGAACCTCCATTGCCATAGACCTTACCGTGGACCTATCCTCACCCCTCATCATCGGCGTGAACGTCTACAGTTTGCCCTACAACACCAAAACTGGAGATACAGGCAATGGAGAACTGTTCTGTTCACAGGTAAGAGTCGGTACTGCGTATCAACTGCTGATGGCTGAACAAGAATATGGCGACAACGTGGCCAGCGTTACTCAGACCAATGTGTTATGGAAAGAGACTCATGGGGAGGTGCAAGCATCATGGTATGGGGTGGAATAGGCCTTAACCAGAGAGTGGGTCCTGTGGTGTTCCAGAACTTTGGTCCAGGGAGAGGAGGCGGCATCACAGCGGTGCGCTACATCGACCAAGCTCTCAGACCCCACGTCATACCACATTTAGCACGTCACCGGAACTAAATTTTCCAGCATGATAACGCCCGGGCCCATACTACCAGAGCTACACAGGACTTCCTACAGCAGAACGGTGTCAACATTATGCAGTGGCCAGCCCTTAGTCCTGATTTAAACCCAATTGAACATCTTTGGGATGAAATTCAGAGGAGACTGAATAATGTCATACCAAGGCCGAACACAGCCGATTTATTGCGCCAGGCCTTTCTCAGAGTGTGGTTCCAGGTGCCAATGGCCATCATCAATCGATTGGTGCACTCCATGCATAGACACTGTGCTGCAGTTATTGCCGCTCGTGGAGGTCACACTAGATACTGAAGTCAAGAGTCTGAATGGACTGCAAAGTTCACGTAATGTCTTGAAATTGAGCTGACTTATTCATTGATGTGTCAAGATATTGTACACAAAAAATGTTTGTGATCCGCTTATTATGTCCATTTCTGTAATGATTTGATTACAGTGCCTATCTAATTTTGAATTCATACAGACGGTTTTTGCCACTGAGTATATATATGCTCTCTGTAACCTAGCATCTATACACCTGATAAAGGTGTAAACGTATACCCCAATATGTGTTCCTCATAATTAAGAAGTTGACTCTAGTTTCTTTGAGACATGGTTTCTCAAACCCTACCGAAAGATATTAAACATACACATCCAATTTTGTCAATATATTGACAGCCTAACGTAAACGTTTTAGGCAAGAGCTACATTGCACTTGGCTGGTTTAGATTTATTTAACTATGACGGTGCAGTCAGATGTCCAAGACTTGACTCTTAGCATTGTTTTTGGTAGACTTTAGTGAATTGATATGATCTGCTATCAGCTGAGGTTGCCAGACCAACACAAATGGTAGTAGACTCAGTCCTCCATTACTGCATGATTATGTGGACCAAATTGATTAAACACATGTTTGTGTGGGCTTAAGGAGGAAATTAGATCTAATTATGTCATGAAGGTGTCTTCCACAACCAGAAACAAATATGCATTATTCCATGAATGGTCATTCTCTTCCCACAGAGGTTACTTGTCATATCTTCCTACGAACCTCTGTTCTAATACGGCCATATTTCCCGGTTCTCGTAAAATCCCCTAGCGGCAAAAGATCGCACAACACGAATTATCTCCCTTCTTTCTATCCAATCAGAACACGTGTTACATCGACTTAGATTCAACTTGACTAACACAAGCAAATGTGGGGCCACAAATATCCCCCATCTGCTGGGGACTTGGTGATGATGTGGCCTTGTGTTGATGTTACACACAAGACGTTTAATGGCTAGCTTGTCCGTTGTCAACGAGGGCGATGGAGACGCCACTGATCCGCCATAACATGACTGAGTTCTGTCTAGAAGAAACGTTTGCGCATCGCGCAGGGGAAGAGGTTTAGTTTTCTCGAAGCATACGGAAATTACTCGAGGCCTTGCGAATGATCACTTTTGAAACAACGTCGCTGATTGCACAACTAAATCTGATTGCCTCCAATCACGAGTCTTGAACGCTCACACCATGCAAGGTCCGTATTAGAACAGAGGTTACGTAGGAAGATATGACAGGAGTAACCTCTGTGGGAAGAGAATGATGAATGGTATGCTTGTTGGATTCGGTACCTGTTACTTGAATCGTCTGTTGACAAAAACTTATTCCCAACTAATGTTTATTTCTTATTATGAAGGAAAGGTCAGGGGAGGAGGATGCCCTGCCTGGAAAAGTGGGCTTGTCAGACTCTTTACAAGTTAAACATGGTGCTGTTGGAAGGTGACCATTAGGATGAATATTAGATCAAGGATTGTGTATTGTACTGTGTCAAAGTATGTCAACATGATGAATACTGAATTTATATGTTCAATTGCAGGTGAGGTGCGATACTCCAGGAACAACCACAAGATTGCCACCTTGATGCATGTAGACCGTACACTTCCTCTGTGGGCTTTCTTTGATGTCTACGGCAATGTACAGAAAATTAAGTTGCTAGGTAGGTTGCGCTAGCACAATAATTGTTTTTTTTACTTTTGTTTACTGCTGCACTCAGAAATATAGGTATGTAGCAGCAGCAGTAAATAATCCAGTCTGGTCCAGACAATCCACTGATTGATATCATAAGCCTCAGTATCTCTGAGATATTATGTAGTTGTGATAGTTTGCCTGCTTCCTTTTCATTCAGATGCGTTTCTGTATATTTGTACTACATCTCAATATGTTTTGTCATTGTATCCCAATTGCATAGATTGATGTTCATGCTGTTGATCCCTAGATTGTCTGGTCCAGACTTGATTATTTACAGACTGCCGCCATATAGCTGGAATATTGCTGAGTGCGGCTTAAAACTAAACTAACTCACTCACTCACTCACTTATAGTATTATACCATCAAGGGGCACATAAAGCTCAAATAGTTCTAAGTGTGCCCTTCCAGCACCAGGAGCTTCTTTCAACTGAGCATCTTTTATTTTAGCCATGCTTTTGGCAGTCTAATACAAGAAATATTGAAAAAGTAAGCTAAGAGTGGAATGAAATGATTTGGTTGTTGGTTAGACCGCAAGTAACGTCATTATATCAGAAACACAGTATTGTGTTATTCTGTTACCCAAGAGGCAAGTAGCTTAATCTGGTTGATGTAGGCATGTGGTTCTCCAGACTGAAGGTAATACATGGTGATTCCTTGATTCCTGGGCGCTTCTGGAACTGATTCCACCTTACAGTTTGAGGCCTGTTTGCTAGTTACAGACTTGAACTCCAGCCTGGACCCACTGGCCCTGTGATAAGGGTAATCTGATACCCTGACATTACACATGTGTGATGTTGTTCCAATATTTGAACCCATGAAGATCCAGGTTAGAATAAATATTTAGTAACCGATGTTTGTCATAAGGGGCGACTAATGGGATCGGATGGTCAGCATTGTTGACTTGGTTGACACATGTCATCATATCCTAATTGCATAGATCGATGCTCATGTTGTTGATCGCTGGATTGTCTGGTCCACACTTGATTATTTACAGACCGCCGCTGCCATATAGCTGGCATATAGCTGGCATATTGCTGAGTGCGGTGTTAAATTAAACTCACTCACGCCAATATTTGATTTGTGACATTTATATCAATACATGTCTCATGTGTATTGACATGTTGTTATGTTATGCTGAGACATGTTGGTTTAATAATCGATAGGATTGGGAGAAGTAATATTATAAAGTGGTGTTAGGGAGGTATGAATAGGTTTGGATGCTTCCTACCATATTAACAATTGTGTCAGCACATACTCTCAGCCAAAGATTAAGATGTTGTTTAAACATCCTGCTTAGCATATGTAGACACATGGAAAAGTGAAGACAAATGTTGCCAAAGTTTTGGCAAGAGTCACATGGCTCGGAATTTGAAGTTGATTGGCTGTTAAACAGTAGTTTTACCAGTCATGTCACAGCTGCCAGAAGGGTTTTTTTTCCATGTCCAAAACAACGGAAGCATATTTTATCTTTCTTATGAACCATAAAAGCAACAAATGACTACTGGTTAGGAGGTTGATGGCCTAATCACCATGGTCTGTGAGGAAAAAGCTTCTGTTCTTGCCTTTGATTTTGAAAATTTGAAATTTGAAGCACCTTGTTCACACTTCATCTCCTGCTCAACTTATAATTGTTACTAAGAAAAGATAAAACCCCGTAGCTGTTATGAGTTCTCAATAGGGAACAGTAAAAGAAACATAAGGGGTTATTACAAAGAAGCATTTAGCATCTAAGACAATGGTGAAAATCTGTGCCAGGTTTATAAGTATAGATATGTAAAGGTTTCCTTGTATTTTCAGGTGCTACAAATCCCTCAGGGAATCTCCCTCGCCTCCCTCGGTCACGATCAACATCCAGCTACCCTGGCCTGACAGTGTCTTTACCCCCTTCAGCACATCAGTCCAACATTGCCTCCCACCCACCACCACGCCCTCCCCCACCCACAGTGCCTCCATCAGTGCTGCGCAGCTTTAGTGTACCCTCCCAAGCCACACCCACATCCCCAACAGGTGCAGTGCCACCCCCACCACCATACCCAGTGTCAATGCCAACATCCCCAACATCTGGTCTTGGGGAAAACCAACCTGTGTTTGATGACACCAGTGAATGTACAGTATGTTATGAAAGGCAGGTCAACTGTGTTCTATACACATGTGGACACATGTGTATGTGTTATGAGTGTGCAATTGCAGTCAGGAAGGACAAGGGAGGACTGTGTCCCATCTGCCGGCAGCAGATCAAGGATGTCATCAAGATATACAGGTCTTGATCTCAGTCAGGGGCTGGCAACAGACAGGAATATGTGTGCAATGCTAAGTGTGATGGAGAGCGTCTTTCATTGGCTGGTGTCCCTGGACCCAGGTCAACTGTTATGACATAACCATGTGCAACTGATATCTGATGTACATATTGATATCTGTAGCACAGGTTTCAGTGTTATTGAGTTTGAACAGCTTGGTCCTGACAACAGCAGCTTGTGTATATGTTGCTACGCCTAGCCACCATGTCTTCAGCTGCAGCTATCTACAACACGAACTTGGTGGAAGAACACCCCACAGCGACATCCCTAGCAGGGGAAAGGAGGTGCTTATGTCACATGGACGTTAACAATCTGGTGGACAGAGACATCCCTAGCAGGGGGAAAGGAGGTGCTTATGTCACATGGAGGTTAACAATCTGGTGGACAGCGACATCCTGTCTGTAGTCGGAAGGCATTCATCAGGAACACATGAAAACTGGTCTTATACACATCAATATATGATACCAACTGAACAGAGAAATCTTGGAAGTAAGTTGTGAACAGTTTTGTGGAGGATTAGTGTATACTCTTTGACGCCAAGAATATTAGTCTTGAAGGGTTAGGGTGAAGGACAACACCCAACTGAAATTGTGAACATGTGACAGTAATTACAACAAAGGTATTAACAAACTGAGTATTTATGTATGATCTTGATTGCCAGTTCAGATCATCATGTTACTTGAGAAGAGCTTGTCATTCTTGCTATGGAGATGGTAAATGACTTTGAATTTCAGCTTTCCTGGTATTGGCCTCATGTTAGCAGTGCATCTGTTGTTTTGGGATATCCTGTACAGCATCCAGACTTAACCATGTCAGTAACAAACAACACTGGTGTATGATGAGTGGAAACATGGATGTTTGTACTGTGAGTACTACATGCTGAGAAGAAGTGATATAAGCACAAGGTAGATTTATGACAGTAACTGCAAAGTGGTTGTTAGTTTGAAAGATATGTTGCCAATCACTGTATACCTGCTCAGTACAACTATTGGAGGAAGCAACAGGTATTATTGTACATAGCATGGACCTGATGGACATATTTTCGCTACAAATGTTATAATTTGAGATACCAAGATGCTTACACAGAAAAATTGTATTTTTTCTGAGGAACACAATCAAGAAGGGACAGTTTGAGTATTTTGCCCAAAGTGTAAGTGCAATATATGTACTACTGGTATGATATTTTCAACTTATCTGTGTCATGAAATAGGCCATGTGCTTAATCATGTTAATGTTTAATGTAAGTTGTGAGTACAGATTGTCATGATTCATAACACTTGTCACATAGACAGTTGTGATAAAGCAATACATGGTGATGATGATGATGATGATGATGATGATGATGATGATGATGATGTTGACATCCTTATACTGTTTTGCAACATTGATATTCACATTTCCAGATTTGGATGTATTGATGACAATCTGTACAGGTTGGGGTGTTTGTAAATGCTTGAGCATATAGTATACTGTAACACTAAAGCAAAAGCAAACTGAGTCCCTGAGACCAAGGTTGACCAACACAAATATATGGTCCCCATTTGCTCAGTTGTAAGGTGGCACATACCTGTGGAATCTCCAGATCCTGTAACGATGCTATCACTGACCTGAAAAACACTCTGAGCTTGTATGGCTCAGTTATTTAGAAAACATTTTTCCCAAACAATTGGGTGTTTAGTTTAAAAGCAGGAAAACAAATATGAGAATATTGCTTTTGTTATGAATACTTTTGAGATGTAAATATTACTTATACTGCTCAATTACATACATAATAGTAGCATTACCTTCATAGAGAGACATCCTAAACACCTTTAGTGTGTCAGTACATTGTTACTGGGAGCAGACCTCTACATATATGTACACCAAGATTTTGCTGACATGTACAGTTCCCAAGCAGTGATACTGATAGATATCTGGAACTCACAGTGTAGTGGCATCATGAGATTGTATGGATGGTGTATGGTTCATTGCTGTGGAATACATCATGTTCAAAATATTCATATGCTAGTTTTCTCATCGTGAATTTATGTGAGACAAACACCTGCTTGATGTGCATCTTGCTGTCAGCATGTTGCATACATTGTGAAACAAGGGAGTTAAAAGTCTGTTGCTGTGGTTACAGACTTGTTGTTGTAGTTGTTTTCTTTGCTATATACTACATTCCTAGATTAAGGGGCAGGCTAGTCTATGCTGTTGTTGATGTAATGAGTGTTAGGTGCTAGATAGATTATTATCATTATTGCATGTTGGAAACGGTTTCATTTTGTTCAGGTTGATTATTTGGAAATGTCAATTTGAGTGACACCCACCCCTTCCTCCGTTTCCATGATGTATGCAATTCATTGTGATCAGATATATGTGACAAGCAGCATTGTATTTCCTCACCAAACCTGATCAACAAATTTCCCATGTCGAATCATGTCACCATCTGTCTGCTAAACATCTAGGATCTAAAAATGTCAAGCAATTCATGATAACATCGTGACACAAGGTACTACCTACAACATAAACACCTACAGATAGATAGACACCTAGGTAGATTTCAGAACCATGTTTACATGCAGGGAAAGTACTTTGGGTGATATCACCAAGTCAGTTTCCTGTAGTGATCAGCTGAAATCCATTAACCAGCTAATCTGGACGTGATCTAGTCAAGCTAATGTGATCTGCCTTCAGCATCAGAACACTTGGTAAAATGACCCAACACAGGAAATTGTGTCCAAGTAAATGATCCTTGAACTGGCAAGCTGAACTGAACAGTAGTCCTGCTGTGGACCTTTATGTCAGACCGATATGGATCAACATTGATATCCTTCTTACACACACCCTTCTCATCACATAGTTTACAATATTCCGCAATGGGATTTATGTATGTTATTGTATAAGGGTTTATGTTATTGTATAAGGGTGTATGTTATTATATAAACAAATTACTGTGCAACATCCTGGGCTTAAGAAAGGTCATTGTGCTCTCATCTGGACTACTCTTGATAGTTGACTGTTTATGTTAAGGACTGCTTCAGCAATGTTTTGTTTTATAACCAATATGCATTATTGATGGTAATAAAATGGTACAGATGTAAGTAATATTATAATAATTGTATGAAAAATCATTTCCAAGAGCAACAAAGGATAAGGAATAGGCTGCAGTCTTCTGCCTGCCTCCTCACATTCAAAGTTGCGGATCTCACGGTAAATACTTGCATGTTAATTTTTCTGTGCTTTTTGTATGCCAAATGGAATTAGAAATTGCAAATGCTTTTCCTTGTGGCAGCAATAATTATCCAGGAGAACTTGTCTTATCACCCTTTGTTAAGAAAGAGACTAACTGTGCATGATGACGACAGTTGACATCACTCATTTGGAGAGTATTTCTTGATGGATTAAATATATGTGTTTGAAAAAGCTTTATGCAGCTTTAAGAAACATTGATAGCAAACGTAAATATTTCCTAATCTTTCTTAACTAATACCCTGTTGAATAAACAGCCATTGCCAAAACATTTGAATTGTTATGTATAGTGAAATGGCATTTGTTTCATGCAGATTAGTAGGCATTAGTAAAACACATTTGTGAAGGATACACTGTTGTGTAGCCTGGTGTACAGGATTAACTATGCAGGCCACATCCATGTTGTATATTGGTCATACATGTGAACAGTTCTATGTGTTAGAATACAGTCCAATGTTGCACTGTTCACTTGTAAACCAGAAACAGGCTAGATTGTACATATATACAAGTGTATATATACTTGGATTGATGCACATGCTGGTAAAGGTTGATCTTCATCATGGATCACATGCAGTGTGATGTTAAGTAACTAATAACTAAGGTGCAAATAAACAAGTATTATTTCCTAATGTTGTTTTGGTTGTGTTTGGTTTGTGTGGAGAAAAGGTGTATAGTGGTGAATGAATGCCAGTAACATCTGTAGTGAAGTATTGGTGAACTTTTAGTATGGTGTGTTTTCTTTAATCGATTCTCCATAGATGAACCTTCTACATTAAGCAAATCTTCAATATCTTAAGACCAGCCTATGGAATGCACTCTTAACCTACTGTTTTAGAACTTTTATCTGACTCCAGAATCCAGTAACAGCATTAGTTTTGTTGAAAATGAGCTGATCCTCAAGCTTGGATGAAGTCAGATTGTCATTCATATCAATAGAACAAGTAAGTGTATGGATGACAACTTCTTTTATTCTAGAGCATGACAGTTACAGGTGACACCACCAATGTTGTATTTCCTGGATTCTGATCAAAGGTGTTGCATTCTTCAGTCAGGTCAAAGGTTTGGAGAAACAGTTAAATGCCACAACACCAATGTTGCATTTTGCAAGGTTGATCAAGTTTGACATGTTGTACAAAAATATTTTATTCAAATCACAGTTATTAACATGTCACATTGTAATTAGCCCAATATTGTAGACATTGAATTGACCTTTATTGCATGGATGGAAGACTCCCATGTATACATGCGAGAAAACGTGAAGTACAACTTAATATACAAGCTCACTGGCTAGATAGACATTTTGGATCGAACTTTGGTCAACCACACTCTAACACTGGCCTGTTCCCATGGATGCAAAGTCATATGGTTGAATTACTGTAGCATAATACCTGTCCAGTAGATTATAGTTACGTGGTTTGTGTCAGGGCATAAGGGAATGTGCTGGAGCAGCCGTTGTCACAATGGCTACACAGATGCCTACATGTGTCAACACAATTTATTGTGACTTGGAGTCCTTGACAAATATGGTATAAATAACACCCGTGGATATTTGAGACCAGATGACCCAAATTGTTAGTGAGATACATCTCGATTGTACAGAGGTAAACTGGTTCATTCAACATTACTATATATGACCAAAAATAATATTAACTAACGTTGTGTTCCTGATACAATGCTGTATCTTTGTTCAAAGAAAAGGGGCGGTGGGGAGACTTGTGGTTAAAGCATTCGCTCGTCACACCGAAGTCCTTGGTTCGATTCCCCACATGGGTACAATGTGAGAAACCCATTTCTGGTGTCCCCCGCTGTGATATTGCTGAAATATTGCTAAAAGGGGCCTAAAACTGAACTCACTCACTCACTCAAAGAAAAACGGCATTTGTTGGAGTTATGACATTATTTGGCTTGGTTAGTCCTTTGTAAGGCGTACGTTTGTATAGTAGGTCCTTGACCTTGTCATCCAGCACACAGCGACATAGAATGGGAACAGACAGTATGTGGTATTCAGGTCCATGGGGATGCCGCCTGCAAGGTAGCTAGAAAGGACGTAGAGCGGTCGCACCAGCAGCAGCATCAGTGCCATACACGCCGCCATCATGTCCAGCAACGGTGACATAGTCTCACAATTGACGCACATGTCTTCTGCTCCGCCCATCTTAATTTCTTGAAAAGTGTTCAGGTCTTCTGGTAATGAAATATTTTGCAGAATTATTGTGTTGCAAATAAAGTGAGCAGGTTTCGATCAAGTGTAAAAGGTACAATAGACATTATAGTAGCATCAACATGTACCACATAGATTTAAATTAGTGTCATTAAATTTCATACATAATTTCATTTGTTGTTTTTTATTGTCAAGAAAAAGCACGATCTAGCGAAGATATCTCTGTAAGATTTATATAACTGAATATTAAAAACAGAATATTCTCACACATGTTTTTATCAAAGATCAATCGCTTTCTAACCTCCTTATAACAAATGATACACCCCGTGTGATGGGGCAGTAAGTTTTAACTAACGCTTAGTCTCTGAATATATATAATTTTGACAGAAACAAATGATTCCTTTTAAATTGAATTGTGCCCAAGTGATATGAGAAAACCTGAAGGAAACCTAGGCTTGCTTTAGAATGGGCGGAAAGGAATATAATGCGGTTCAGGGACTGGGAGACAGACAGCGGGCAATTCAACACGATCTTACCATTCTGTGCACCGGCGTCATTGTGATTCTGGGCTGACCTTTTGTGGTATAGCATGCACATGATGATGAACGCAGGCAGGTAGAACGTTAAATACTCCACACACAGGCCACACAAGAATGTCTTCATTAGGGGGTATTTAAACATGTCACTGTATTGTTGCGGAACCACACCAAGCAATCGATTGTTGGGAAACAGCGACTTCATCGTGACCCTTCCAACAGCCGCTAATACAAAATACACAAACGCTTTCATTGTTAGAACTGTGTTCAGGTTTGCCAGGGCACAGGATCTCCAAAGGAACGAGAGGACGACTATGTCAATGGAAGTTAAGTCCCACAGTAACCTTGCCTTCAGCAGTACCACGTCGGGATCATTTGATGCCAGTGTAAGGAGAGCGACGTAGTGTAAAACATGGATGATGCCCACGATGCAGACAATGGAGACAGGGATGAGAGTACACAGGTGGCGGCGTGGATGTCTGGCAGTGACCCCGTGACCCAGTGTCAGAAGCCCCATCAGCAGCATTAGCACGAGGATGAGGATGAGGAGAGTCGGCCACACACCAAACATGACGTCACTTGCTGAAACATTGGGTGGATGAAGACATGATGTCAAGGCAGGATATCAGCACACTATACCACAAAGTCAACTACTTACCAACAGGTCTGTACTGATCAGCTAGACATACTGAGTCATTTACTACATACTGTCAGTATTGGTTGTGAACGTTTCAAGCTACTATATCATACAAGCGGGCAAGCATTTTCTGGAGGTTGTATATCATATTGAAAAGCTTCAGATTACGGTGAAATATTTACACTCCATTGTGGTAGTAGTTGCTCCTGCTGTCAACCATTGATTTTCCTGGTCCGGACTGGAATATTTACAGCAGCTTCTGTTTCATCGCTGAACTGTGTGCTATTTGTAGCGAAAATACATTCGTTTTTGACGTTTGTACTGTTTCTATGACAACTGATTATTCCGAATATCGCGAGGTAATGTGCACTATTATCACGCTATAGATATGATTCTGAACATATCTGTTTTACATAATTCAGGATTAATCACGATTATTATTACAAAGAAATTGTGTCAGATAACTAGTGATTTTTCTTTTCTCTACACTGTGCTTTTGCTTTCTGATATCATTGCAGACAAGACACCTGGGGATTGTCATAAGAATCTTTAAATAACATGGAATTTGGGCGTTTTGAACGTTTGTGTTCTGTTTGGTTTGACTGTTATGTAATGACGCTCCCAGAGCAATAACAGCTATATGGCGAAGTGATTGCAGCGTGAGCATCTATATACGCAATGCGATGACATGCAGCAACCACGTCAGCAAGTATGACCATCGTGTCCGTCAGTCACCTCCTGCAACAACAGCCGGTTGCTGAAAATCAAATATAACCCCGATCTTGACTAGTGGGGCATGTTTCCTAGATCCTGACTGGGTTACGATTGGTAGGTGAATTCATCGTACACAGTAGAAGGTTATGTCGACGGAGAAATTAGTTCAGGTTGAAGACGAAAAATAACACCAGTCATCCTCTTTAGACGGTTCAAAATATAGAAATGCAGTACACACAGAAATAGGTCACGAGGTTAACCCATCTCTGGTGCCAGTAAGGTTCAGTATGAAGGTTTATCCTACTCACGGTTGTACATGCGTAGTCGGAATACCGAACTGACTGAGGGACCAGTCCAAGAGTTCGATATGGGACAAGAATCTGAATTCCTTAAGTATAGGTAGGGGGTTGGGATTAATAGTCTGGCAAGTTTTCTATCCTACGTGGTCAACTTGCTATATTTCTCAAATATTGTTTATGTTTTAATCAAATTTATGGAATAGTGCTTAACTATACTCATGGAAACGAATAAGGGAACACATGAAAGTACAAGTGTTCCTATAGAATTTCACTCACAGTGCAACACATACTTTGTGAAGAAACCTGGAAAAGAATAAAGGAACACTTGTACTTTCATGTGTTCCCTTATTTGTTTCCATGAGTATATGTTTGTCATTCTATATGACAGTGTGTGTTTGAGTATTACAAGGATTCAACCTTTCCAGAATGAACTTGAGGCCGGGGATGGAGGTATGTCTCAAACGTTATGAGTCGAGTTTGAACCCGTCCCTGACATTCTTCCTTTTTGAAGCAACTATCCCCAGACCACTACGACGATCACACTTTCCCTGTCCAGCTGACAATACTATTGTCTCTTCGGCTACCCCATGCTGTCCAGTACTAGGACTCTTTGAAAGGTAACATCAAGTTTGGAGGAGTGTGTGCCTTAGTCATTGTCGAGATATTTAGGCCACTGGAACTTGGCAGTTCGAACCTACAAACAGCATTCGAAATTAACGTCGGTCATAGTCCCGAAGCCGACTGAAAACCACTCGGACCCACATCTGTGCTCTCCAGGTCCTTATGGCCGACTGTTATTTTCATCCCCAATAACTAAGAGTATTATTTCCCTCTTAAAATATAGGGCCTACACATTCTGATCAGGACCCACAACTTTTTACTGTTCTGGGTCGTTAGGGACTAGCTTTTCAGGGTTAGGGGCAAGCACTGCATACAAACGTCTGAACTCTGAAATGAAAGGTATCGTGTCGATGTCCTGTTGGAAGAGAGGACAAACACCCCAATGTCACTGCCTCCACACCGACGGTCAGCCTGGGGACCAACACGAAATAACAAGTACCCAAACTAGTCCCACCAATTCACACTCAGACTCTGGTTGTGGAAATAGGTGCCAGGAAACCCGCCCATTTGTAGTGGTATCCCATATCACCCTGCCGGATTAACTTGGATCTCTGGACTTGTTTCCAACGACATTTGCTTTCTTTCCAACAAAATTTGACTACTCCATGGTTTGTCTTTTTTATGTGTATAATATTGGAAATAAAACCAACATGCGATTGAT